AATATAAAAGGAGCCACTGAAATCAACCACTTGCTCGAGGCCAAAACAAAACAACGACGCTCTTTTCAAATCACTAAAATCAACACCGACATGAATGCGTGCTCTTCACACTTTGCTGCCTCTGTTGCCGTTCCTGGACTTGGGGGTATAAAACTGAACGTGAGACTTTAAAAAATATCTCCAATAGCCAGAAACACCAGTCAGGTGTTTACCTGACCTCAATATTTTGTACTAAAAGTAAGGTGATGAAACTGTGGTGTGAGACCTGGAAAAAATGGAAATGAAAACCCCGGCTGATTTCCTGTGATAAGATTACATTCTGCGGTTTTGCACTGGCTTTATGAATGACACAGGGGTGTAAAAGGTCAAACTGTGCTGAGAAAACAGTGAGAAAGCATAGCATCTTTAAACATTTCAGCTTCCAATGATGCTTTTATTGCTACCAGAGCTCTGAAACTGTAGGAAGAAAATTGAGTCAACTAGTTAACAGAATGATGGCATTCCTGTACAAAGTGCATTCTCTACTCTGTTTTGAACCACATCTACTGTACTTTCATCTGGATTAGGTTAGTTTGTCATTCTTTGTATTGATATTTCCAGCCAACTAATGATATATAAGATATGGCAGTTGTAGTCACTCTGGTAACCCAGAACATAAAGGAGAAGTTTTAAACCAAAAATCATGTGAAAATCAAACTTAAGTATGAAAGTCATGAGCCAACAAGCCAAATGAAGCCTGGTCTTCTGGGTGAAGTCCTATGTCCAACCTCTGCTTGTTTCTTTGAAAGTAGAAAATTTTCCAACTACATCATACTGTTTTTAAACTGGGAGAAAATATTAAAGAGTTCATTTGCAAGAACAGATAACTCCATCTTCACAAACCTTCAGAAAACCTGAGACAACATCAGTCAAACTTAAAGTATCTCTATTTTTGTCATGTCATGTCTACTGAGTCAAATCCACTCAACTTCAGTTTGATTGATATTATCTCAAGCAAGCGACAAAAAAAAAAAAATTCTGAAAATCTACAGACATGAAGTGATCTGTTTTTGCAAATGAACTCTTCATTTGTTTCATTTTAAGTGTATTCAAGAATGTAGTGTAGTTGTACAGGAACAAATATCTGTCATGTGGTTGACTGGGCTTCAGTCTTTCTATGCTAAAAGGTTGACTTTATTGAAAAAAAAAAAAAACTTTACTAACAATGCAGTAAAAATTAGATTGTCTTAGCACTTGTTCACTAAATGGTTCCCTGAAAGTCTGTAATTTATGTTCAGACCAATGTAGTGTGATTCTGTTTCAGTGGCACCCATTATACATCACACTTTAATGGGATTTTGAAAAATATGAGAATACGACAGGTACTGGCAGTGTACCAGCTCAGTTCATATAATTCCAGTAAGGAACACCTTGACGAGTATTGTGGCTTTTATATAATTAATGGCAGTGTGTGTTTGCTGATTAAAAGGTTTGCATGGTGACCAACACCAACCTGCATTTGCATGGCAACCGTGTTCACAGCCAACCACACATTACTGTACAACATATATAAATGTGATTGAAGTGCATGCATGCACCCCATTGTCCTGCCTGTTTTCTGGGTGTGAAGACGAGACCAACAGCAGAAAGTGTGAAATAGCTCCTCAGACAGAATACAACTGAACACTTATCTCCACTGAGCACAGAAGGTGCCGAATTCTCGTCCATTATAAAAAGCAGCAACAACGAACATGTCCATTTGTACGAAGATCACTTTCACCTTCACACAGGAAACTTTTATAAACAAAAGTTTGTATCTGAAGCTATGTTAAAGCTAATTTCATTCTGCATTAGTTGTAATGACTGTTGTTCTAAACTGAAACGACAAACTCTTAAGTACAGTCATCGCAGTGTGAAGACAGACAGGAGTAAAATGGAAAAAAAAAAAAAAAGAAATGTATTTCCCTTCTCTCCTCTGTATCAAATGTTGGGTTGCCTCTTCATAATAATCACACTTATTCACAGAGAAATTCCTTCTCTGCTTTTTAAAGCCACTTTGCAGTGTGTATCTTTGCTTGTTTGGTTTCCTTACAGACTGACCTCGAGAACATTGATATGGAAATTTAGTGTTGTCAATAAAAAAGCAGAATAAATGGGTTTTAGGGTGGCCCAATGGACAATCTGACATCTCAATGACAAGCTTAATCCGCACAAAAGCAAATGCTGCAATGTGGATTCCTCTGTCGCGTCAGTCCAAATAATGTCTGTCCAAGTGAAAAGTCCTTTTCATTTTAATGGTACTGAATTACAGCAGTCAATGACAAGCAGGTAGATCATTTTTATTTTTTATTGTGGCCTGATTTTTTCAGAAGCTAGTGGTTACAAAGTGGTGCTATTCAAAAATGAAAACGAGAATCTTCTGCGCCGACACAAGTTTGATTCATATTGCACTGGTGTCCACTGGCTGCAATAAACAAGCGCAACCTCTGACTCCAAAGACAATTCTCTCCTCTGCTCTGCTCAGCTTCTGTACACGGTCAAACTAACTGTGAGCTGTATATAGTAAATGGAAATATTCCAAATTTTAAGCCCCTTGGGGTTCCCAAAAGCTCTATGTACTCACTGCTGAAACCATTCAGTACTCCAAATCCATATATTTGACCCTACACTTGCTGAAACCAGCTCCCATGCGTACTTTCTGCCCTTGATAACTGCAGCCTGTACACTCCTCTACCAAAGTCACATTAAACTCAGTACCTTTCAGCCTGTGTATATTTTTTGTGCATTTCATTTGGCGAATATGGGTCCACGTTTCCTCACTCGCATCCCTTCTTTGAGTCTCAGCTCCTTCTGGAAGGGATGCAAGAGAAAGGTCTGTTTAGTATATTAAGTGTTCCTGCTCTGGGTCGACCAATGCTGTCAATGTAAAACCAGCTGTTAAACATCTGTTGTGGCTGCGTTTGCACTGATAAACGCTCAGAGTTTCATGTCAGTAAAATGCTGATGATTCTTTCATCAAGCAACACAAATATCATTTTCTCTTCTCTCTTAAAACACAAATAGAAATACGTCTATCCATATCCGGCTTTTTGGTTTTTTGCACTATTCGTCTCTTTGTTGACTTTTTGAAGTCTTGTCATCGTTTCCTACTTTGATTATGTAGCGACATATTTCTGCGAGTCCCTCTGGATTCCTGTTTTATCTGCTTATTTGCACTTCTTGCCGTATTTCATTATCTGTGCATTTTATCATTGCCATAAACAAAACCAAAGTCTTGACACAAATCACTGTACGCCACATTTATCCTTCGGCGCTCCTTTAATTTCTGGTTCTAGCACACGGTGCAATGTCAAAGTCAAGTTCTTGCCATCATTGAAATAGAGCCAGTTTTATTTTCTGCAGTGGAAATACATGCTTGAGTAGTAACCAAAGCTCATTTGCATATTAATTTGAAGACAGATGCTACACGGTCTTTCCGCTGTATGAACAGACCTCAGAGCTGGTCTGCATTCATGCCAGTCCAACTGGAATTGTGTTTACCAAACTGTAGCCTTGCAAACAAAACACAGATTTCTTTATTTGGAGGAATTAGGTGTTAGCTCATCTTGTCTCCATGTTGAATTTCTAAACAGCTCTAATTCGTCAGAATTCATGGATTTTTCTTTTTCACTTGAAGTTAAAAACTACAATACTTGAATGGTCTGAGGTGTTGTGTTTCATTAAATAATATCCTGTAAAGTGTTTGTTTTGTCCTTCTATCTGTCTGTGTGCTAAACTGAACTACGTACGCTGTAGACGTGTTCACCGAGACCAAACGTAAAGCTGATATAAACATCTTGATGTCATGATAAGAATTTGTCTTGTGTTCGTTTTTAGACAATGTTAGCCTTTATTTTTGTTTGGAATAGAATAGAATAGAATAGAATAGAATAGAATAGAATAGAATGCTTTTATTGTCATCATACACAAAGTACAACGAAATTAAAAGACAACTCCAGTGGTGCAAAATACAAGTATAAAAAAAGACAAATAAGAATATATGAACTTATTTACAATAGGAGCCAGTAGAAAGTATATACAGTTTATTCTACCAGACAGTAGAATAAATATATTGATGAGGTGAGAACGCTGTGGATATATGAGAAATATGAATATATATATAAATAAATAAAATATAATATAGAATAATTTTTAAATAATTATAATTATAATATAGCATAATATAAATGATAGGTATATGTGATAAATAGTTCCGACTACAGATTAATGTGCGTTCAGTACCCATATTGCACTTGTGTAAGAGAGTCGTCACACTGCTGCACTACTGTGCGCCGCCATCTTGTTCTATCAAAGACAGATCAAGATCAAGAAATACTGTTGTCTGATACAGAACTGGATTTGAATTGTGATTTTCATTGCAAGCTGACAAGGCACCCATTAGAATGAGTTCACAGATATGTATTACTCAGATCATTTACTGTCGTAGAAGTAGCGTTATTGCAGTTTAAAAATCCTTCAAAACAAGGAGAAGTCTCAGAAAATATAATAAAATATAGTTTAAGTATCAAATGTAGTAGTACTAATAGTTAAGAAAAATCATTCCTGTGATGTTCTACTTTCTATATTAAATTACTGGATTATTATTATTAGTCCCAGTGTATTAATATGTTGGCAGCTTTTTACTGTTGCACTTCAGAATGGAGCTTGTTTGAATCATTTAACATCATGTTGGGTAGTTTAACTCGTCACATTTTGGAATATTTTTTCATGTTTTGTTTGTAAAATCAGATATTGATGCTATGAGGTGAAGTCGTGTAAAATGATGAAGCTCAGATTCTTCTTGAAGTACATTACTTGGTTAAATGTACTTAGTTGCTGGTCAAGCACGACAATTCACTGTATGGATCTGGTGCTGCAAAACTGACACTGAGATGGAAAACTCTGGAAAATCCTTATCTCATTTCCTACTTTCTTTGATTTTCCTCAGAACCTATTACATTAGTGTCTGACTGTGCTGCATCATGCTGTGGATGAAGTGGAAGATGATGATGGACTCCCTGCGTGGTCGGAGAAGGAGGCTGCCCTGTTCCCTTTGGTTCGTCCTGCTGTTCGCTGCCGGAGGTCTGGTTCTCTTCATCCACCAGCAGGATCTGTCAGAGATGGTCCAGCAACAAGGCCCAGGTTAGTCTCTACTTCCCTTAAAGCAGCGTAATGGTATAGCTTTGTGAAGGCTAGTGCTTCATTATTAACCCTCACACAGGACAGTTTTTTAATGTCTCTCAGCAGGCTTGTGAAGCAGTGCTCACTGCTTTCAGTTTTTTGGGATTTCAGCAAAAAATGCTGGGAAAAAAAAAAAACACTCACAACCAACACTGGAACGCTGTAGAAGTAACCACAAATGCAGCCGTAATCCGAGCAATAATCCACGGCTTTAACCACCACAGCCAGGAAGAGCAGTGGCAGTTATCATCCGACCAATAGGTGTGTGGTGTCAGAGATAATCCGTTTGAAAGCAGTAATGAGCAATATGAGCATAAAGTGTCACAGCATCCCTCCTTTCAGTTGTATTCGCTGTGTGGTTCTGGTTGACTGACAGTGTAGCGTAGCTGGACTGGAACAACGTGTTAACTCATCAGTGGTTCAGAAACAAACACAATCCATGAAATGATATAAACTGACTGTGGAAGCCTTTCAAAAATTAAGTTTGTTCGTTAGCGTCTGTCTGTATGGATACAGTACGGCTGAATAAATAATCAGGTAGATCTTTCAAATGCATAGGAACACGACATGTGCATCGTATTTGTTGATCATGCGGCTGTGTTAATGAGTTTGGCAACGGAATACGCTGACTTCATGATAATGATTTGCTCATTATTTGCTCTATGCATCTGCAAAAATTTCTGTCACAGGCTAACCAGAATTACAACACACACATATATACAGTATAGCCTTGTATGTTTTTGCAAAAATAATAATAATCTGGAACCGTAATGAACGCACACACTGCACTCATTAATGCACAGAAACACAAAAGCCAGAAAACACACAAATGCAAGCATACGCAGAAATACATAAGCACTCACACATAGGGGCTAATGCATGGATGGCCACGAGTAATGCGATATACACGTACGCACCTCAAGTCCTTCTGTACATATAAATAAACACAATGCAAACAGAGGAAGCACACACATGAATATATATATACGCATAAAAGCAATCATGCTGTCAGTGTAAAATACAGCACACGCCCTATATGTGCCTTCAGAAACATTAAAAATTAAACAAGAGGCTGTATGTTTGTTATATTATTTGTTGATTTAATCAGGGCACGTGGTGTAGAAAAGACTTGTTCCCCAGATACTGCCATTTTCATTTCAACTCGGAGGGCATGTGGTCAGTTTCCAATCCTCCTTCCAGGAGAAGGCCGGGCATTCAATTTCCAAATGAGTCAAACCTTTGTCCCTGTAAAGTGACCCAGTGTGCTTCCGCTGGGCACTCAGCATTAAGGGGATTGAGGTTTAAGCAGCCATGATGGACGGAGTGTCCTGATCGTGTAAAACTAAGCTGCTTCATGTCTCAGAAACAAGAGATCAGCTGCTTGCTTATGCACGTCTTTGGCTTGTACTACACTTTCAGCCAAATGAGAGCGGCTTCGGTTGCATGTGGACCGGCTCCTGACTTTTTTTACACAGACTTGTTTCCAGCAACCACCACCTTGCGAACCGATACCCAGCTAACATGAAAGGTCACCCCAAATTTGAAACGAGTAAACAAATTCAAATAAGGGCGGCGTAATGAGTTGTGAATGTGTTTGTGTTGATCAAAAATAATACGGGTAAACTGGCCAAGGAGGCACTTCGGAGACAAAATCATCACCAGAGAACCTCAGAGTCAGAGAAGCTGCAATCCACTGAGTATCTGCGCTATCATGTGTCAACAGCAATGTGAATCATTATGACTATGAGCAGTGTCACACTCCACTGCAATAAGAGCCACTTAGCCAGAGTGGAATCTCTCCAACCCTCTATTCCCCTGATTGTCAGATGCTTTCAGGCGCAGTGTCAGGTAAAAAAAAAAAAAAAAAGGCCATTCACAATGACACAAACACAAGCAGGACACACACAGAAGCCCATATGCAAGTCGAACATTATGTACAAACACACAAACCTTAACAACTAGTGTTTAATATTCATGACAAATATCAGACCTGTAAGAGCTTGTAAGAAGCTGGTTCATGCAGTCAAGGACTACAGGAGCTCGATGCAAAATCAGTGATGAAAGTCCAACATTAACTCACAAAAGTTATGTCTCTGTATAACTCAACAGCATTCTGTCTTGTGTTTTGAAAGATGCATATTCCCTCTCTGAAAGGTATTATGTGGTAGGAAGTGTTTCCAGTTTCAAAGAGCCACTTAGGACTTTCCCCCAGGAGACCAGGGTTTGCATCCCTTTCTGGGTTACCAGGGTGATGAGTGCTGCCTTATCTCATCTAGTACGATTAGCTGGTTGAAAAGGAATAACAGTAAAGCAATAAAATAAATAGAAAACAGCGCAAATGAACATAATCTCAATTAAAAAATTCAGAAGAAACTGGAAAGTCTCACAAACTGACGAACAAGTGGGCTGAATGACTTTAATGGAGCAACACTTGTCTATAAAAGCACAGGGTAGTGTTACCGGGTGATTTTAACCCCCAATCTCATTTTATTCTTTTCAAAATAATAATAATTTGCATTTTACATTTAACAAGCTCTTTTATAAAATGGCATTTTGTGTGTTTGCATACATTTGCTCTATGGTGTATTCTATCAATAATTCAGTTATTTTCACTTAAAAGAGCAACTCTGTTTTGTTTTTTTACTTAATTTTTTATAGTTTTCCTCATAATTTCAGCCACAATAATGCGAAACAGTTTTTAATTTTTTTTTTAAAACCTCTGACATCTGGAAGACTAAAACAAAGCCAAAGCTTGAGTTCCAGATTTCCTTTTATTTTTGTGGAAGAAAAACAAAATTGGTTCCTCATCCCGAAAAACAAGAAGAAAATTCACACGCAAATAGCAAATATGGCAAGACAAAGATGAGCTGTGGCAGATATTTACAGCAGGGTTAGGGTAGTCATTGTACTGCTGAGTTAGGCTAATGCTGGCTTTGTTTGGGACCTGTGTGATAGTCTGCCTGCTTGTGCTGCCAGCTGCAACATTCATCCAGCAACACCATCTGATGTCATTTAAATCACATATATACAGTAGATATATATTGTAATTCTGGTGGATTAAGCCCCTCAGCAGCCTCAGAGCTGCCACCTCTGCCTATTTTACTCCTTCAGCTACAGTGGCACTTATTCCTGTTACCTTGTGGGTAAAAGACAGCTCAGTTGTGCATAAAAGAGCTTACTGGTATCGTAGTGTCAACTCATACGGTGCTGCACACAGCGTTTCATCTCTTTACTACATGTGAGTGAGCAATGGACTTTAATTTAGCTTTACATGCTGTCTTTTGAACAGCTGTCTGGAGGAATAACGCCTCGCCAGCTGACATCGCAATCTGACAGGTACTCACACACCTGAAGTCAAACTTATCAGGCGACAACATAATTTGATCCAAGTCATGTTTGTGTGTATTATTTGGAGTTTTTCTCAGTTTGTAAATGAAAATAGAATAGAATAGAAAAGAATAGAATAGCCACTTTATTGTCAAACAGAATATGCACTAGTTGGTGCACAGTTTGGCTGAAATTTAGATGCAAAAGCTCGCCATCGGACGAGTGAATAACAAAACAAAAATTATTAGAAATAAAAGCAGTTACGATATGTACAGCCATCCATTATCTATACACTGCTTAGTCCTCACTAGGGTTGCAGGGGCTGGAGCCTATCCCTGCAGAGGACACCCTGGACAAGTCGCCAGTCTATCACAGGGCTTAGAGACAGACAACCAGGCACACTCACGTTTACACCTACGGACAATTTAGAATCACCAATTAACCTCTACATGTTTTTTGGACTGTGGGAGGAAGCTGGAGAACCCGTGGAGAACCCACGCTGCACGGGGAGAACATGCAAACTCCACGCAGAAAGATCCCAGGCGTCCTCACCAGGACCAATATGTACATCCATCCATTATCTATACACTGCTTAATCCTCACTAGGGTCGTGGGGGGGCTGGAGTCTATCCCAGCCGACTTAGGGCGAAGGCAGGGGACACCCTGGACAGATCACCAGTCCATCGCAGGGCCAATAACATGTAAATAAAAATAAAAAATACATATATATCTATATATATGTGTGTGTTGCTCTTGTTTTACATTGTACTTATCATTTATTAGGCTTTTTAAAAACCAGGACCTGACTACCAATTTCATGTAAATGTGAGCTGGCATGACAATAAAAGTTCCTTGAATCCTTGAATACACATACGCACCGGCATACATCAACATCCGCACACAGTATTGCACTAAAAACAAACTCATAAACTGAAAAATGTGTGTCCATCTGACATTTTGTGCTGATTTCTTATCAAACATTTGTTCAAGAACTGTGACATATTTAGACAGATTGGTGTAAGAAAGTATAAGGAAGTGCATTTTTAAAAAAAAATACAGTGCTGCCTGAAAGCCACGAAGCAGAAGAAGCAGGTGTTTGATATGACATCCTCCAGTGGCACTTCAGGGAATCATTCCACAACTTCACCTTGAAGCCAATACTTCAGTGGTTGGAAGGAAACTCTACACATGTTCACCACCTGCTGAACACTGCAGTAAGCAGACATTTGGAATACACAAAAAAAAAACAAAAAAAAAAAAAACATGCCACTGTTTGGAAATACTCAGCCTTTCTCTTGCAGCTCTTCCCTCTACTCTGTGTTTTAAGTCCCTCCCACCAGACAAACAGGCGCTAGAAATACTTAAGAGAGTCAAACTGAAAATCAACATTCATTTGTGGCTTCAGCCAGCATTCAAACTCCACTCTCCCAAGTGAAAGTCCATCTAACTCACTGTGCTGCCACATCCTGTTCTAATCATGGACTCTGCTGCCCTTTACACAGTCTCATGTAACTGATAAAATGCTCCGTCACTGGTTGAAATCTCCTGTCTGGGGCAAAAGCCTGAAAACAAAGCCAAGAGGAGGTGTTGAAGTTTACTTTCTTCTGACACTGCTTCAGTTACAATATGCTGAA